TGCACATCAGAGAGCTCTAACCAGGGATGGTTCTTCTCCTGCCATGCACACAGTGTATCCCTTGCTACAAAAGGTGGAACTGCAGAGAGGTGAAAGATGTCTGCTTAGCAGGAGAGGCACACTGTAATCAAGCGTCCTTCCCTCAGAGTTTTCACATAGTTACAAAAATTATTTAAAGGAGGCATTACTGTAACAAAACCCAAACCAGACCACAATTTTACACTGTATCTAAGATGATGAGTTCTGGATACTTGTCTTAGAACACCTTAAGGAGTTGGCTCCAAAGATTTCCTTCTGAAGTTACCTTTTGTTTGGTCGTACATGAGAAACCTCTCAAAGAGCTCATGCTGGATGGGCACTTGATCAGTAGAGCTGTAGGGAAGGATGTCTTCATGGCTTACATAGTCTAAACCTGAAAAAGAAACCCCAAAAGCCATTAGACTTCTCTAGTGAAGGGTAGGTCAGAAGAGATTTACGACTCTTCCAACCTCGCACCATGACAATCCACATCTCCACAAAGCTCCAAACGCGCTACCGGGTACATTTTACTCACCTGGTATGGCATAGAGGGCTCTGCTATCATCGTGATTTGCCAGGAACGTAACTGCTTCTGTCTGTGATCTCTGGGACTGAGAAAAAGGGAGGTTTATATCTTTCAGTATGGAATGCTGTGGGCCAGTTTCTAGACAGGTTTTAATTTACAGGTCTCTCCTAAGTGTGTAACTTTTATTTTACTTAACCAATTCACATCAGAACATTTATTTTTTTAATTTCTCTAGACTAATTCTCCACTCAAACATTAAGTGAAGAGGGTTTTTGGTCACCCACCTTCATAATGACCTATATGCGCAACAGAATATGAATGCCAACAGGAGGAGAAACTGAGGTTGGAGAGGAGAAATACGGCTCAGAAAACAGTGATATGACACTCCAGACCATCCTTCTCAAGGAAATTATGACTTGAAGAATGACTTGGCCCTACAAGTTCCAAACGTTCCCAGGATAAGAACTCTTGTTAGTCATCTTAGCAGCACTCTGTCAGCCTTTTTATTCCAATAACTGTACATCTAGAGAATTCACAGAGGAGAATATCTTCGAGTTTCAGTAAAAAGATCACTGGTTACTTACTATATGCGGACAATCACGGGCATCTATTAACACCTGATAGTAAGTGTGTGTTTTGCCTTTGACTTCTTTGGAACCATGGCCTGCCGCATTCTCACTCCTAAACAGAAAAGCAGAGCACTGAGCTCAGAGCAGCTCCACTAACCCACGCACTAGCACAATCTCACCCGCATTGCCTGAGTTAGTACGCAGGATGGGAGAGAGTTCATTTCCACACGGTAGCAAAGTGTTCTTACAAGGACGAAGCCTGCTTACAAACAGTAACTTCTAAAGTACATTTCAGAGTCTGCAATCATTCAATTACCATCCAAATTACGTTCATGCCATCCACCCGCACAATGATAAATGAACTGGGAGGACGACAGTCAACGGTGTCTGTCACTGGCACAACAGCTCTGTTTTCAGATGACTTGGAAGATCTCCCCTGGTCAGCCCAGTATCCTATCTGGCATAGCTGTTTTCACTGCTCGCTCATTCTCTATCTGCTCACTGCTCAGTCTTTTCCAAGTCCAAACATACACTCGCCTGGCATACCTCCAACAAGGGCTAGAGAGAGGAACGGATGAGAGAAGTGAAGGAAGTAAACAAACAGGGACTCAATCCATCAGATGGATAAACTTAGCCTAGCAGGTTGAAAATGGGGAGGCAGCTGACAAATGCAACTCACTGGCAATCTATACAGGAAGCAGCTTGCAATTTTAACACAGGAGCCTAGTCCTACCTCAGGACAGCACAAAGTTTTGTTTTACTTTCTTCATGCTTCCATCCTGTCTCTTGATTAAAAGAAATTTAATATTCATGCAATCGCTCGTTTGAGTACCTCTCTTCCAACTGATGTTCGTGTAAAACAGACTTGTACCATTGTCTTTCTTAAAAAGACTTGTTTTCCCTAACCAAGAAACTCGCAAAGAAACGTAAATACAGTAGTATGCTGCATACAAACAAGAACAAAACCTCACTTTTCTGTGACAGGAGAAGCAACATCTCGATCGTAAAGCCTGGCTTGCCAGGGAAACAGGACTATTCCTCGATAGCCAAACACACTGTGAAGAAACAGCTGAAAAGAACAAATAATTGCACTTTAATACATAGCAAGCTTCCGTCGACTTAGATACAATAGAAAACAATATCTAAAAAGAATTTTATAGAGGTAGAACTAGCAATGTTTACATGGAGCCTGGACACGTACGAAAGGGATAAAGGGAGAATCACCATTGTATAGCCATTGAGCAGAGACAAAGCCGGAACATAAGCAGCTTGGGATGGAAGAACAAATTCACGTCATCTCTATCCCATTAAAGTGATTGACTAAACCAGTTATAACATATTGGACATCAGAAGTGCAGAAAAGGAGACCAGGATAGTAGAGACCACCCAGAAAGGGAGAAACAGATATACGAGTCATGAGCATAGAAATTACAAGTTTACCTTCATTTCCCAAATTCAGCAATTGACTCCTTTGCTGCCAAAGGGAAACTATGCTTAAATAAAATCAGCAGAGCAAATACCATTGTATGAACAGTTGTGTCATGTTGCAGATTCTTATCAATTTCCTACTGTCAGATGACTGACAAACTGCAGACACAGCAGAGACAAGGAACGTTGAACTGTGAAACTCCTGGACTTCTGCTACTATGCAGCAGCCTTCTCGCAGATAAATCACGCAGCTATTCAACCTCTGTGGAAAAAGCCTGCAGGGTCAGCTCTGCTCCCCAAGACTGCTTACCTGGCCTGTCTCATATTTGCCGTGTTGCTTTGGTGCTTCAAACACCCCCACTGTCTCCAGCACTTTGCCCTCCGGACGGTTTCTAGGAGGAGAGAGTGGGTTTGCTGGGTGTGCACGCAGCTGCCCAGCTGATGCTGAGCCTGTCCCCTGGGGCCAGGAGAGCTGCGCGTGGCACAAAGCACCCTGAGTCCCCGCTGCTGGCTGCGTACAGCCCCCACCCTGTACCTCCCTCAGGGTGTGACATCCCCCATGACAGCCCCAGCCTGCACCCATGAGGCTGCCCAGCCACCCGCTTCCGGGCCCTCCCCACCCCCCC